TTGTTTTATAGATTCCACATGTAAGTGAACTCATATGTTATGCCTTTCTCTGTCTGATTTATTTTTACTTAGAAAATACTCAATTCTTCATTTCAAAGTGGTTACCTAGGAAGACTGATTGGTCTTGTCTCCTAACTGGATTCTCCACCTTTATTCTTCCTCCCCTCTAGACCATTCTCTACACTGCAGTAGGTCGAACTAAAATTTAAATGCGATCACCTCTCTCCTCTATAGAAATGTTTCAGTGGCTTCCCATTCCCTCAGAATAAAGTTCAAACTTCTTATCACAGTTTAAGTGCCCACCTCAGATCTGATCTCTACCTTTCTAGATTCCTTTCTCACGACTTCTCTAGAACTCTACACTCAAGCCATACTTCACTGGCTATTCATTCCTCTAAACTGCATTCCTCTCCCCCACTTCAGGGTCTTTGTGTACGCTGTTCCTATTCTTTGGCTCCCCTCATCTCATATTCCTTTTCCTGGGTTTCCTACTTTCTGTCAGGTTATAGTTTAAATATCATTTCCTCTTAGAAACTTTCCAGAATTCCTAGACAGGGTAATTTATACCACAGAGGGCAAGACATTTTCTCCTTATATCCCGAAATATCCCTATCAAAGTACCTATCACACTTTATGATTACTGCTTATTTGTGTATCTCCCTGTAAAGACTGTCAGTTCTAAAAGGGCAGAAATCATGTATGTCTTGCTCACAGTTGTCTCCCTAGTCTTCAGCCTGGCTCAAAAAACAAACAAAAAAAAACCTCAATAAATATTTTTAAAATTATTTAATTAATATTAGAAAACCCTCATATCTTATCTTCAAGACAGTCCATCACACCTCTCTTGTAGACCTAGCTATTTTTTTTCTCTTCTAGAAGCTTCTAGGGAAGGGTACACGTGAATTGACTATGCTTTACTTTTTTTGTTCTCTTAACATTTTCAAGATTTTGCTGCAATGAAGATAAAAACAAAGCAAAAAATAAATTAGAAAATGTAAGTGAAAGTATAAATAGTCATACCATATTCCCCTCCCCTGCTATCCCAATCCCAGAGTGTTTATACTTGCTTTCTTACATGCAAAAAAGTGTGATTATTCTACTTGTATCCTCAAATGACACTCTGGCTTTTCAGTCACTCCAGCATCCAGTTCACAAATGGCCTTCCTTGTTTTTTGTAGCCTTGGTGGCTCCTTTCCAATTTCTATCACAGAGTTTGTTTTTCTCTGCTTCCTTCTCTGCTTCCTCTTCTCAGCTCAGCACAGCTTCCTCTGCCATGTTCTATAAACCTGCCACTGTTGATGAGTCTTTTCATGTGCCATCTGAATTGGTCGGCTCTGTCTCATTATCCCTTGGGTTCTATTTTGAATTTTAGTGGCAAACAATTTTTTCTTTACTTGTTCCTTTCTCTCCCCTTGCAGCTCATTTCTTAATGTGGTCACTTAATTAACTTTTCATTGGACAAAACTGAATGCCACCACTTTGCCATCATCAAATTTTGTCTGCTTTGTTTTCTGTTTGCGTTACCACTGCCAAGAACAGTATCTGGCCCCTGCTCCAGACTCAGTACCTATTTGTTGAGTACTTTAAATGCCTTGGCATGTACTCTATGACAGGCTGCTTGGGTTGATTTAGATTACCTTTGCTCTTCATGTGCCACAGATAAATACTTAAAACATCATTGAGTACCTACAACTTGATGACACAATAAAATTGCACTCCAATATAAATGCTGTGACCTGATCCAATGATAGGCATTCTTCCTTCGTAGGTTTTTTGTTGTTGTCCAGAAATGTAAGAAGAGTAATTCATTTTCATGTAGAAACTAAGAGACTTTATACTCCCTTTGAATATTAAGCCTAGTCTTTGGTCTATAGCCCAGCCTTTAATCAGTACAATGAATACAGTTACTTCATCTAAATGTAAACAACAGGGAGAAGTTCACCCTCTAAATCAAATCGCTGGTGTTTGTAAACATGGATAGCAAGTACCAAGCAAGAAGGGCTCATGGTCCAGGGGAAAAGCTGCTAACAGAGAACATTTCTCAGTACTGCTACTCATTTAAGATTTGGGATAGTGGAGATTTTAGTGACTGCTGGGTTGGCAATAGGAGGGGTTTGGTGGGATTTTTTAAAAAAAGGTTAGCTGGTGAGATGAACTAAGTTAGCAAGTACTCAGTGAGATAAGGAAAAGGCATCATGACTTTGGGAGAGGGTAAGAAAGGAACCTAGGATTAGCATGAATTAAAGGAAATTGAGTCGGAAATGGGGGGGGGGACCTCTGGTATAGCAAGGGCCATCAGTGGTTCTCAACCTTCTGGCCTTTTAAATACAGTTCCTCATGTTGTGACCCAACCATAAAATTATTTTCGTTGCTACTTCATTACTGTAATGTTGCTACTGTTATGAATCGTTATGTAAATATCTGATATGCAGGATGGTCTTAGGCGACTCCTGTGAAAGGGTCGTTCGACCGCCAAAGGGGTCGCGACCCACATGTTGAGAACCGCTGGTTAGATGGTGGAGTCAAGGGGCTGGAGACAGGGTCCTTGAGCTCTAATGCTAACGGTAACGAGAGCAAGCAAATAGCGCGATGGGGAGAGGATTGCTCCAGGACTCAAAGGGCAGCAGTGGAGGGACTCCTGAGCCCACGGCTGCTGCGTGTGGAGGGTGGGCAGCATCAGGGGGGGCAGGCTGTGGCTGGGGAGGGGGATGCGGGTTCCTAGACAGCACCGAGGGCGAGAGTTAAGGTTGTAGCAGGCACTTTAGGCTCTCGGGGGTGTTCATTCCGGTTTGGTGGCCACTCAGTGTTGGATGGGAAACTCAATGAAGGGCGAGATTTCATTTCAAGCGGCTTAGGGTGATTTCGGAGAGATGGAGGGGCTTGGGTCAGTGTACGGGGGGTACATTCCGGCTCGGGCGGGTGGACGCGCCGGGTTCGGGCATGTCGCCGTGGGGTGTGTGTCAGCAGCGGGGCAGGTGGATTCCTCTGCACCCGGCGTGTCAGGCGGGGCTGGAGGTCGCGGCGGGTGAATGGCGTTCAGGGCCCGGTGCGAGTCGGGACG